CTCCAGCAAAGTCCCCATCACTTCCCACTGGACAAGTGGAGCCTCTTCTTCCTCCACGCTCGCTGGCCTCTGCCTCTCTCCACAGAGCAGCCAGTATGCTCTTTACTAAAGAAGACGTTCCCACTTCGCCCAGTTTGCTACCCATCCTTTTGTCCTCTCCTCGGTCCTCAGGATGATGACTCAGCACCCCAGCATGGCCACAGCACGTGCACCTGCCGGCCCTCCTTGCCCTGCACGGCCCTGAGTCCATTTGCTGCATTTTTCTCTCCCACACTTAACACATTATATCTCAGCTTTGCTCCCAGCCCTCAAGTGAACCAGCTTTTCCCTGCAGCAAACCTGCAGAAATGCTACCCTGTGACTGTATCCCCTAGTCTGCTTACTATTTAAGAATTACTCATTGTTCAGATCTCACATTACATGTCTTCTCTTCAGAAAAACACTCCCCAGATTCCCCATCATTCTTTAATCTTTCATGGACCCATTCACTGACCTTGATTCCTTTTATAATTTCCATAGACTTACTTTGTAAATAATATCATTATGTTACTAATATAATTTTCACAGTATCATAATTATTTATTATATTATCAACTTCATAATTCGTACCTAGCTCACTGAGGGATTACTGCATGGTAGGTAGCATCCAAAGTGTTTCAGAAGCATTATCTTCCTTAAGCTCCTGAAGAAGTTACTACTGCTATACACGAATGAAAGATAAGAAAATTGGGCTCAGGAAAGTTAAACTGAGTGGAAGAATTAGAAGCTAACTGATCTCGGGATCTAGTGATGCACCTGTCCTTTGCACTATGTTCTTGTTGTCTGACTCTCTCACTCGCTTAGCTGTCCAGAGGAGCACGCGTACTGAGAGCTGAGGAACCCAGCAGAAGGCAAGGTTCTGTTGCTCAGATGCACAAATTCAAAGCAATGCCTGTGAACCTTTCCCTCTATTCCTCCCTTTCTGTGGCACACACATACCTGCTTAAAAAAAAAAAATTAATTGAGCCATTGTGGTATTTTTCTACTGAAATCTCTGGAGACTGCTTTAATTTTTAAGGCACTTTTCAAGAACACAAATACAGAGAACACAGCACGGAGAGAAGCAGTGTAAGGGTACGTGTCTGGGTGCACGGGCAACAGAGCGCGACCCAACAAACAGGTGGCATGGAGATGCTTTAGGGTGAAGTTTCAACTAGTGTCCCATAAATACAAATACTGATAATCACCAAAATTGCTAAAGTATTTAAAATTTTCCAAGCTCTATGTCATATGGTTTCTAGTGTTCTTTGGAGAACTATCACATCAGCTTAATGAGGCTGGTTTTATTACAATCTCATTTTCTAGACGAGGAAGCAGAGCTGCAGAAATCCTTTGGCCAGCATCTGGCTAGAAGGACTCTGCCCCACCTAGGCCTGTCTCCAGAGCCCAAGGCCTGTGATGCAGGACTGCTCCCAATAAGAAAATTTTCAAGAAACAGTCCTACAAATACATGAGTAGTAACTATTAGTACCAAGCCATGAACTAGGAGGAGAAACCAAAGAGAAAGGGGAATAGCTACAGAAAGATGCCAGGCATGGTCTATAGGAGACAGGACTACATGCAAGGATTGATACCAACATAAGGTTTAAGAGACCCAAGTAGGGGAACGAAAAAGGATTTTATCTGGGGTGACTAAGATTTCTATAATCTTAAGTAATGAGGACTTGGTTTGGCTTGATGGAGCACAAGAAATCATCTTGGGCCCACTTCAGCACCAAAAAAATGGTTCAAAAATACCAATCAGCCACATAAATGAGACTTCTTCATTCACACAATCCTATTTAGTTAAGGTCCATTCTTCTCCAATGAATACTGTTGTGGGCCCTGAACCTATAAAAACCAAGGTGACAACATTCTTGCTTTTGAGTTTATTTTCTGGTGGGAAAGAAAGGGTCAACTGACAAACAATTGTGTGCACATGTGCAGAATACTTTGGCAGTAACAGGGGCAAAGAGTTTTACAAGGCAGGCAAGAGAGCTAGACAGTACTATGGTGGGGCTGTCAGGATGGGCTCCCTGACGGGGGACATTTCAGCACAGACACGGGGGAAGTAGAGTATCATTTATAAACCTGAAAGAAAGTTTTAGGACAAAGGCCAGGAAAGCAAAGGTAGAAGGAGCTGGTAGAGCCTGGGAACTGGAGGGAAAGTGGGAAAGGGGCCAGGCAAGAGAGGGTGGCAGGGACAGCCCTGTGCAGCCAGGGCCAGAGGTCAGAACTGTGCAGGTGTGGGTTGCTGGTTCTCACCATTCTACTACGATGAAGGGGACAGCTTCTGATTTTCTTTGAAATTTTATTATAAAACAAAGTTATTACTAATTTAAAAGGAATAAAAATGTGTCTATAATTTTATCACCTAAAATGGCCTTTTCCCATTTCATTTGTTCTTGTCCTGACTTTTCCATATTGCTGTATACTTTCATAGTTTCTTTCATAATTATAAACAAGTTCACATGCTGGCTGACTAATTTAGGTTCATACCACATTGATTTTACAGGTTGACATGAAGCCTTCAAAATAAATATTTTGTTTATAGATGGGCAGATATTTATTTTTTGAAGGAGGAGAATTAGAGATTGAGACCAGGGCTTTCACAATAAGTTACATGGCCAGCATTTTTTTTGAATCAGGGTCTCACTAAGTTTCCTATGCTGGGCTCAAATTTGTGGCCCTCTTGCCTCAGCCTCCTGAAGCATTAAAAATATTTCTGAATGATTCTTATATGTTGAAAGATATGAGATGAGTTACCTGCTGATGGTACTTGTCACTTTCTCAGAGTAAGTACCTTCTGGCACTGGTTCATACACCGCCTCCACTATCTGCAAAACAAACAGACTACAGTGATGGATGCAAAAGGGTCCCGAGTATCTGAGAGGTAATCCTTACACACGGCATGAAGTTGCTAATGAAGGAATAGAGCTTCACGTGCAAAAATTAATCACAAGTAAAAGCACTGCAAACAAAACAACATCAATTAAATAGTTCTGAAACATCGAATTGGATCCTCTAATACACTAAGGTTAACCTTAGGTTCATAATATAATGATGTATGGGATAATATAGTATGTTACCTTGAGAACAATCTAAAGGGCAATTAAAGAGTTAAAGCATTTTGATACACTTATTTATCTAATTTTCTGTGATAAACATACAATTAGAGGAATATGCCATCCGCATGATATATATTTAGAAGGAGGGAAGCAAACTGATTCTAGTGCCTAATAAAACACTGTCTTCTTTTAATTGGAAGTTGTATACAAATCATGAAGGTTCTGTTAAGAACAGAAGCCACGGCGTCCTTTCGTCCCCTGCTGTCGCTTACTTTTGTAGCCAAGGAGAGCATGTTGGTGCTGTAGAAGGGAGGCCTCAGAGCCGCCATCTGATAGAGGATGCAGCCCGCAGCCCAGACGTCGGCCTTCTCTCCATATGGCTCGCTCTTCAGCACCTCTGGGCTGGAATGAAATCAGGATGTTAGTAGGTGCTGAGGAGAGGAGGAGGCAAGCACAGAGAGAAGACGCAATTTTCAGGCTGCTGTTGGAGATATTAAAAACATATATACTCGAAACTCATAATCATTGTTTCAAATCAACGTAGTAAAAAGTAGCTCTGAAATCTCCCAGCCTCAGATGAACTGAGAAGCAATTGTGTCCAGCACTAAATATCGACAAGCATTATGAATGATGCGTAGTATGTGTCCAGTGATGTACTTATATTTGCAGACAGAAGTCCCTGGGGCAGATGAAAGACTTGTCAGTTCGAGTTCTTTCGACTGCAGGCCTGTGCATTGTCACTTCCACTAAAGCCACTCGCTGGATAGTGTTCACACCTACCCTTGTTTCTGTTTACTGTTTCTGTCGCTAATGGAGTATGAAAGTAACACCACTGGATCAGAACCTTAAGTCTTAAAAGGTACTGCTGCCCCCTTCCATTTCCCTTCTAGAAGATTCTGTCTACTACCAGGAGGAGAGATCCCAAGTGGCCTCTGTCATTACAGCCTGGGACAGACACGGTATATATGAAACAGAGCTATCTCAGACAGCCTATAAAGCTGCAGCCCAGACCCAGTCCTAGCCCAGGTCCGGTGAGTGTGTGGAGAGCTTCCTGCTACCCTGCACTGGCGGGACCAGTCCCAGCCCAGGAGCAGCATTGGCAGGACCCTCTCCCACCCCCTTGGGCCGCCCCCCACCACTCCACCTTACCTGCCCCACCCCTCCCGCCGAGTAGGAATTTCTGCCGAGTTCCAGGAACCCCCAGACCCAATCCTAGCCCAGGTCCGCAGCGGGAAGGAGCTGAGCACAGCAGCCATACCTAAGCCAGACGCAGCTGGATAACTCCAAAATCTGTAGAGCTCCACCTGAACTTCTGTACGTGTGAAGGTTATAACTACAGCAAAGATCTACAACAAAGGGCAGAAGACAGTGCTACACAAAATGACGAGAAGGAACAAAATGCAACCTCAGAACCCAAGCCCACCCGTAACAAGTGCAGAGGACACTAACACAGAACAAATTGGAAATCACACAGCTGAAAGCAATGAATCAACCGCTTCTGAAATAAAACAGCTGCAGAAAGATATAGAAGACCTCAGATTGGAAATGAAAAAAGAAATCCCTGAATTAATAACATCTGCACTAAAGAATCAAATGCAGAAACATATGGAAGAAACCCAGTGCCCACCCAGAACAAACGCAGAGGACACTAGCTCGGCTCAAATGCATGAATCAAGAGCGTCAATAGTAAATAAGCAGCAGCAGAAAGATATAGAAGAAATCAGAGCGCCATTCTTTTCTGAAATTAAAAAAGAACTCTCAGAACTCGTAGCAGATGAAGTAAAGAAGCAGCTACAGAAACATAAGCAGGAAACCGAATCTGAAAAACACACTGCAGTAAAAGAATTTCTAACTGCTTCTAAGGAAGATATTGATAAAAAAAATACAGGAGATTAGAAAAATGACAGACTCCTTGAATGAGCAATACAGGAAAGAAATAGATCGCATGAAGCAGAGTCAAAGAGATATAGAGGAAATGAAACTCAATCACAAGCTTGCAAAACCATTTAAGTGAATGTGAAGACAGAGTCTCAGATCTTGAAGATGCTGGTGTAGCTAGTGAAAAGGTAAGAAAGGATCTCTTAAAAACAACAAGGATGCAGGAAAGAATAATCCATCACCTGCAAGATGATGCAAAGATGAACAATGTGAGACTAATAGGCATCATTGAGAAAGAAGGAGTGAACACAAATGACATTAAAAAAATATGGGCAGAAGTAATAGCAGAAAACTTCACAAATATAAACCTGCAGCCCGAGACCTACAGAACTACAGACCTGAGTCTGAGAATCAGTGTTTACTGTTGAAAGGCAGAGAGATTTCTTGATGATTATAAATGCCGCATTATTACAGAAAAGCTGACAGATAGGGCCTCCCTCCTTTGCTATTCAACTCTAGGTCATAAAGCAAAGGGAAGCTCATATTTAAATGTTACAGGAAATGAAAAATCTCTACCATGTTCTGTTCCAGAATTGCCACACAATTTAAACAACCATTAAGTAGAGTTAATCTGTGAGGGATGGTGGGATTATTTTTTAATATAATTTTATGTGGAAGGGAGATTTCTTTTGAATATTTCAGATTAATATTTTTCTGTATTGCATTTATTAGGTGAAATTCAAGTGAGAACCAACAGCATTCAACACACAAACACACACACACACACACACACACACAGCTCACACGGTCACAACTCAGATCTTTACCTTCCCCCCAGGGCCTATGTATTCAAGGCTTGGTCACTAGCCCCATGTTGATGGGAGACTCTTGGAGGTAGGTGTAGGAGAAGGAAGCTGGGTCACTGTGGGTGCATCCAGCCCCTGCCTTTTTCTCTTTTCTTTCTGACCTCCACGAGATAAGAAGCTTCCAAATGTTTTTGTAAAGAAATAATATGATGCATCTGATTTTGAACACATTGCATTTCAGTTTTCAAGCAATGAATGTGGAATTCCCCAAGGAAGAGTAGGTCTAGGTCTGAAGCTTAGAAGAGTGTTTGGAAATGGTCATAGACATTTGGTGCATTCTAGCCTTTCCAATTTGAGCTTCATTTTTAATTAAAAAAGTATGCCAAAAAAAGAGAGAATGTGCTCCCATCATGACATGCTATCTCATCACTGGCCTCAACAAGTAATAGAGCCAAAGGGCATGGGATTAAAGCCTCTGACACAGGGAGCTAAAACAACACCTTTCCTCTTTTAATTCTGAGTTTCTCAGGTATTTTCTGCAGAAATAAAAAATCTAACATATACAAGTACAGCTAACATAAGTACTTTGATGATATTGATTTATAAAACACAGTTGTGCATAGCTTTCTAAATTAATGGAGTACAGATCAACAGTTAGCTTTGACAACAAGTCAAGGTATAAAGGAACTCAGCTGTGAGAAAGGAGAGACAGAAAATTCATGATGTGTGACATTTAATTGTTATTTTGTGTTTTTATTCTCTGTTATGTAAGTGACCAAAGATCAACAAAAATAGAACTAATCTCAAAGCAAGTGTCCACAGTATTACAACTGTACTGAATTGAATTGAATTAGGCCAAAATGAAAAAAAAGGAACTTATAAATCAGCATCAAAACTATCAGGACAGGTATAAATCAGAATTGCCTGTAAAACATAATCAAGGAGATGCTATTCGGGTTTTTTTTTTTTTTTTTTGAGATGCTATTCTTGTTAGGTGCCAAGAATTATTCCCCATTTAAGATTTGTAGTACATGTGTGCACAGCCAAGTGGGAATACAAGGCCTCACAGTTAAGAATTTTCAAATTTATAGTGTTTTTAAGTTCAATAATGTGACAATGGCAGAATTTGGCCTAAAATTTCCAAGGCTCTGTTGCTTACAAGTGTACAAAAAGTGTACACTGCTGTCTCATCATCAACTGCTTACATTGAGTCTTTTTTTTATTAGTTTTATTGAGAAACAAATAACAATGAGACAGTTTCAAAACAGGTTAGGACAGTTACAATAATTAATACAGTGCAATTCATAACTGCCCTGAAGATAGCAATGTATAATACTAGGGCCACGCTGGAGATGCCTGTCGTTCTGGTCTTCTAAATATGCACTGCTTCCAATGTCATGTCAACTACTGCTATACTGTCTCTCAAGTAAATATTTGTTTTTTTCTTTTCTTAAAAAAAAAGGGTAGTAAGCAAAAAACAAGAGACAAGAAAAAAATGTCACAGGAGTCCTACGTGAAATAAATCAGACTCACATGTATAAACATCATATTGTCTCCCTAGTATGAGAGGCTGGAAGAGTAAATATGATCCAAAATGTACAATAGATATTGGGATATGAAAAGAAACTATTCAAAAGGAAAGAGAAATTGGGATGGGAAAAAAGAAAAAAAGAAAGGT